CCCAAAGAGAATGGGCTGGCAGTCCTCCTGAGATTCTCTAAGTCTTGCTTGACTCACAGGACAACACAGAATCTTAAAATCTTCATTAAAGAAGAAGCATATTTGATTGTCAGAGCTGGCATAGATCTCAGATCATGTTACCAGCTCCTTGCCCTCCTGACTTTTGTTTTGGTACTAGGGATTGATTGAACCCAGGGGTGCTTAACCACTGAGCCACATCCCCAGCCCTTTTTTTATATTTTATTTGAAACAGGGTCTCTTGAGTTGCTTAGGGCCTTGCTAAGATGCTGAAGCTGGCTTTGAACTCATGATCCTCCTACTTCAGTCTCTTGAGCCACTGAGATTACAGGCATGTGCCACAGCACCTGACTCCGATACTCAAGACAGGCTCCCCTGACCCCTTTCCTGGGCTGTGCTGTCACCCCCAACCTCCGCCTACCTCAGTGTTCCATCTCATATGGAAATGATGCTCCCATGGTTTTGTGTCCCCAGTAGATGACAGCATCCCCCAAACATAGGGTCTGGTGCATGCTGGGTAAGCAGAACTTCCCTCAGGCAAGTGCTCACCAACATCATGGATGAACTGCTCGATCTTGGCCTGCATGCCCCAGTATCGGAACTCCACCTTGCACAGCTTGTAGGCACACATGAGGGGTCCCGTCTTGGCGGCTGTCCGCGCCCAGTCATCAGTCAATGGCCCTCGGCCTGTTTTGACTGAACGGTACAGCCGGGGGTCCTCTTCAGCTTTGTATTCACCTGGAGCCACTGCATCTCGCACAATGTCGATGGTGTCTGAGGGGGTTCAGTGAGCACTGAGCCGAGCCAGCCCCTTCAAGCCACCCCCGCCTTCCCCAGGGATTAGGATCACGATCACAGCCTTTCACAGACGGGAAGCCAAGGCCCAGAGAAAACTTGCACTTGTCAAGAGACTGGAAATTGAGGTGGCAGCGGGGGTAAGAGGGACTCCAAGCCTCACCGAGGATCCGCTGTCTCCTCTCAGCTCCACTTAGGTTGAAGACATTTGGCTGCTGCCCCCCATCAGGGAGGTAATAGGTTTCTATTTCAATGGAGAATTTCTCCACAAAGGGGCAGGTGTACCTGGGCAGAAGCCAAGGTGAGGGTCATTACTGGATCCACCAGGGCTGTTCCCTGTTGACCCCAGCCTGTGTGCCTTGTCCACTCACCGGGTTCGGGTGTAGGGGTATGCATTCCAAGACTCCTCCTCTACCTGCAGGGCGGCCTTGGGCAGCAGTGCCCGGAACCAGCCTGGGATGTGGGAGCCCACATGGTACACTTTGTGTGTGTACTGCCCGCTCCCCCCGGGCCCATCAGTGTAGGGCCGGTTGGCCAGGATCTCCACACCGCTGCCCTCACCACTGGACTCCTCCCGACTCTTTTTCTGCAGCCAGGACAGAGCAGAATTGGAGACTCAGTCTTGGCCCTGCTCCTGGGTGGGGACCCCAGCTCAGTTCTGACCCCCTGCATAGTCTTTCCAACTCTCTGCAACCTGACCCTGGCCCCCAGCAGCTTCCTGGGTTCATGATCATGATCACAGGCACTGCCCAGCATTCAAAACAGCCATTCATTGCTTGGGATCAGTTGGGGTCTACTAATGAACAAACCCAAGACCCCTGCCCATGTGGAACAAGCAGGATGGGAAACAGAAAGCCTGAGAGAGACCAAGAGTTGGGGCTGCAATGTTGATATGAGGGTCAAGGGAGGCCTTGCTAGAGGGCAATGTGACCACCACTTGAACATGATCTGAGGTGGGGGGTGCTCTGCAGCTGTGGGCTGGGGGAAGTATTTGAGGCCGGGGGACGAGGCAAGCTCTGAGGTCAAACATGGTCTTCCTGCTCAAGGAGTGGCAAGGAGGCCAGGCTGGCTGGAAAAGTGGCCTCCACCTCTTAGAGGACCTGACCTTGGTCCCCTCCTCTGGGAGACCAGAATCCTAGTTCCTGCCACACCCCTCAAGGCTTGAGACCCCAGATCCTGCTCTTTTATAGTTGTAGAGCCCAAACTTGGACGCTCAGCCGGCTGAGCTGGATCCTGGCTGCCTTGCCCCCCTAGACTCTGATCCCACAGTGCTGGGGAACAGACTTGGAACACAGATCCCTTGAGCCTGGTACCATCTTCTCCCTGTCCAGGCCCACCCTCCTCACAGCCAAAGCCCAGATCCCACCCTCACACTCCATCCCTGCCTGCCAGTCCCTGTCAGTTAGGGAGGTACCCTCTCTAGAACCCCTTCCTGCCTTCTCTTCCATGTAGACCCCCCATGCCTCCTCATGGCTCCTTTCCCTTCCCCCATGGGATTAGATTCTGAGGAGGATTAAAGGAGCTCAAATGGGTTGAGCAGGCTGGGCACTTAGAGGGTGGGAGACACCACTCACCCTCCTGTCCATTTACCCGCCCCCACACCTGCATAGGAAGAGGACCTTCCTCTTCTGGGCTCTGAACCCTTCCCAGCCAAGGTGCAAGTCTGGCGGGGATGGAGCTGGGCTAGACCCCTTGTCCCAGTCGGGGCCTGCACACTCCCATCGTTACCCATCATGATGTATGGCCCCCTGGTCTCCCCCTCCCCACGGCCCTCACCTGGATCATGTAGAGCTGAGCCACCTGGTACTCGTCCAGGCTCATGGGCAGCAGGATGTGGTACTCCTTGATGAGCATCCTGAAGGCGCCCAGCTGGCCGCGCGCGGCCTCCTCTGCTCCTGGCGCAGGCACGGCGCGGCCGTCAGTGGGGGGCGGCGGCGCGCGGCCCTGAGCCCTGCGCGCCGGCCGAGGGGCCCGAGCCTCGGGACCCCATTCCCGGGCCCGCCACCGGGAAGGCAGAGGCGAGCCCAGCGCTGCCGCCCGCGCCGCCAGGGCCGGGAGCCGCAGCGAGGCTGAGCGCTGACCTCTTTTCCACGCAGCCCCCGCCCCCCGCCCGCCTGTCTCCATGGCAACCGCGCGCTGACGCGGGCCCCCCAGAGCGGCGGGCTACAGCCCCGGCCGCAGGGCCAGCCTCATGTCTCCACTTGGGCCACATCCAGAGCCCCCAAGAAAACAGCATCCCTCAGGGCCGCACCCGTAGGAGTCCCCGGGTCCCTACTTACGGGCCCACCTTCCACAACTGGCCCCTTGGGGACCCGCCCCCTTCACCCTTTTCCCCGGAGTCCACTTGGTCCGTTGTCCCCCATTCCTGGATGTCCACCTAGATCCTTGTCTCCGGGTGTTTCTCTGCGGAGCGACCCCAATGCGCCCCGCATCCCGGCCAGTGTTCCCCACCCCCCGCACCCGAGCCTACCTTCCAGGACCGATAACCCTTCGCCCCCCAGACCAGCCTTCCCCACCTCGGCCGGCGGCCGGATCCTCGACCTCTGCTGCCCAGCATCCTTCTGGTACCCCGGGCCCGCATCGACTCTCCACTCTATCGGCCACCCTATCATCGTCCCCCAGGGGTAGCCCCTCCTCAGGCCGGGGCAAGAGTGGTCAACTGGTATCCCACAGGCCTCGGCCCTGGGGACCCGCTCCGTCCACCTGCACCCGGGCCGGGCGCCCCGGTTCCCCTGCAGACACCCCTCCCACTTCCATCTCGCACCCAGCGAGCCGGCGAGAGGCCCGGTCGTCCCCACTTCCCTCAGCTCCCGGGCGCACCAGTTCCCCGCCGTGCTCTTGGCCCGCCGACTCGCCGACGTCCTCGCTCACCTCTAGCTTAGGGCCGGCGCCCCTCACCCGGCCCGGGCAGGGGCAGCCGCCCCGCGGGTCGGAGCCCGGACCCTGCACAACCCCCGTCTCGGGTTGCAGCAGAGGCCGGACCTTCTGGAGGCGAAACGCCGTCCCATGGCCCCGACCTTTTTCCCGGTCCGCCCGCCGGCGCCCCTGCCGTCCCTCCCCGCCGCGTCACTGCGGCTGCCCCGCCCCGCCCCCTTCCTGGGCTCGGCGGATCCTCCCCACCCCTGCGGGGTCGGGACAGTCCCGCCCGCGGCTGCGAAGGGCAGGTCCCTGCCTTCCTTCCGCAGGACAGCGGGGTAAGTGGCTGTTCCCCAAATGCTGGCGCTTTTTATTACTTCTGTGCTGTTTGGGGTCCCCAAAGACTCTTGTTCCTATTTGCACCCTGGCCCAGCCCTCCTGTGTGCACCTCCTGGGTGGATTTTGATATGTCTGGGTCCTAGGCCCGTCCTCCTCAGCTCCTCATCCTCTGGAACTTGGGACCCACGGTTGGGGAAATGCTTCCCCAGCAAGGTCTAAACAGAAGCTGGTGGCTCTAACTCCACCTAGGGCTGGGGTTCCAGGGCCTCAGGCCCCTAAGTCACTCAACTACACATTCAGGCAGAAGGCTTTGTCAATCTCTGGGCCAGTCCCTTAATGGCACCCCTGTGCTTCTGGGTTCACAAGTCTAGCCAACATGCCACCTAGACCCTGAGGAAGGCTGAGACACTGAGGGCTAGCTCACAGGACCACACTGAGCCTGGATAAAGGAACTGGGACAGTGGATAGCAGCACCTAGTCAGGTCTCTCCCCTTGACTCTGCTGCCAAAGTGTAGGGGGAGGGAAGCATTATGCTGCCTGAAGAGCCACAGACTGGGTGTATTCAGTCTTCCAGGTCCAAGTCAGAGTTGAGGTGGGGTAGGGCATTAAGGCAAGTAGGGAGTGGCTTAAGTGAACTGGCATTTCCACCCTGCCAGGCATCACTGCCAATCCAGGGGAAGGGCCCTCTGGCCATCAGTGCCTCCAGCTGTGCAGGCAGCCAGGGCCCCCCGCTGCCCCCTGGTGGCACAGCACAGAGGCAGGCAGGCAGGCAGGCAGGCAGGGCTCTAGGCTACTGGAGCTCTGCCCTTTCCACTACTCACAGCTGGGAAAACAGAGGGCCTGGAGGGGCAGTTCCCACTCCAAGGTCAGTGGACATCAGAGGCAGGCAAAGACAGCTTCAGTCAGCCTTCTCATTCCTGGACCACTCTTTGCCCTCCTTCTGCCTGGCCCACCCAGGCTTAGCAGAGGAACAAGACCCAGAAAGGCTAAGCTGAGAGAACAACTCCAAATCATCTTTTTATTTATATAAAAAGGGCATATTTAGCAAAAGATACACTGAGAAAAGAGTCAATATGGCCCCAGAGACAAGGCAGGGAGGTGACAGGCCTTCTAAGCTCCTTCTGGAAGAGAAGGCCTGGGACAAAGTGGTGAGAAGTAAGTGCAGAGTAATAGGGGCCAAGAAAGGAGAACGCTCCAGTGGGACCAACACTGCTGCTGGCAGGTAGTGGGTGGGACTCACAGTGACCTGGCAGCTAACTCTTGCAGGGGGAGGAGCCCAGTTAGCGTTGCCCACTGGAGTGAAAGTCCATCCCTGGTTCCTGGAGGGCACCCACCAAGGGACAAGACAGGAAGCCCAGGATAGGAGGTGCAACTTGGGGCAAAGGCCAGGGAGAAGCAGGTGCTCTGCAGTGGCCGGAAAGGTCCAGACGCTGAGGCCAAGGTGCTTCCTGTTACGTGCGAGCGTTTCTCTCTGTCTCTGCCAGGCACTCTCTGACCAGGGCCCGGGCATGGATGATGCCTGGGGTGGGATGAGTGGGGATGTGGAGATAAATATAGGATCTCAGTGGCTCCCCACAGCCCCACCCCACCCTCCGGAAGACCCCCTCCCTCCCCACCCCCTTTTGTTTCAGCCAGAGAAGCTTAAATCTAAGGAGGGGCTGGATGAGATTACAGGTTTGGCTAATCCTCAAATTAACCCTGTTGAAACACAAATTTCCAGGCACTTTCCTAGAAATTGACTCAATTTCAATTCAATTCAAACACCTCTCTGGTTAGTGATACTTGGCTCAAGTGTCCTGTACTGACTCCAGATGTCGATCCTTCCCTAACGATGAGGGACTGTCCAGTGATTGCCGTCTTGACAGGGTGGACCTGGCCTCACTTACCTCTTTTCAGGCGCTCCATGGCGCTCTTGCTCCCAGCATAGGTGGGCCGAATCTCTTTACCCATCTCCTCTATGACCGATAGCAGGTCCGTGTAGGTGCTCTGAGAGCCCTGGGCACCAGGTGGCTTCATCGCCTATGTCAAAAGAGAACAGGGCAGTGAGCTCAGGCCCCGGGTGGGCCTCCAGTCCTCATCCATAAATAAGCATTTGGCCACACTCACCTGCACATAGCCCATGGAGGGAGGTCCAAAGTCATTAAAGAGTGGTCTGAAAGGGGCAGCGGCTCCTGGCACTGAGCCCGACGGCGATGGAACACTTCCGGCTGCAACAGGTGCGAGTAAGAGGTCAGCGCGGGGACAGGAACGACGCCTCCCAGCTTTCCAAACCCCGGACCGGGTTCGCCCGATTCCCTCCAAAGGGACGCTTCATTCCAGGCAGATCAACTTCAGGAACACACCCCTCCCCCTGCGCTCCACCTACAAGCCCTTACGTGACCACGCCCACTTCACAGGCTAGCAAACTGAGGCTCAGAGAGGCTATAGGCGGCAGGCCCAGTATTGTAGAACTCAGGCCGTCTTCTCTTCAAGACCTCGACAGCCCCGGTAGGCGAGCAGGGGTGGAGCTGGATCCTCACCTGTAGGTACCGGGGTGCCTGGCCCAGGGGTGCTGGAGCCGGGGGTGCTGCTGGGGGCGGGAGCGATGGGTTTGTAGGACATCCCCAACTCCTGGGTGCGGCAGACGCCAGCCGGCCGCTCCTCCGGGGTTGGCTGCCGGGCCGCTCAGCCGCGCTCCGATTGGCAGACGCGCTGCACGCCCCTGGTAAATAGAGCTCCGGCCGGAAGGGTGGGCGGGCACGCAAGCTCCGTCACTCCCTATTGGCGCTCAAAGACGTCACTCGAGCCTCCTTATTGGCCGAGGCCTGCCCCCACAGGTCGCAACTACAGCCGATTGGTTTGTGCCTTCCGGACCTCGCACCTGTCTGCTCCGGATTGGGCGGTGGCTGCCGCCCTTCGCAATTGGCGAGTTCGCGGCCCCGGCCGGCGCGCTCTCAATCCGATTAGTCCCAAGACCCGAGAGGCGGGGCCTCGGAAGCGGGGACCGGGGTCCCGACAGCCGCGGTTCGTGCCGAGGGGGTCTTCTCGGGCGCGGGCGCCGCCCTCCCGCCTTGCTCGCGTCGCCTTGCGTGTCCGCTCCGCACCGCCCGGTCTCGGTCCGGCCGGAGCTGCGGTCGTCGCCGTCGCGCGTGCCTTCCCTTCTCTCCGGGTGCCGAAGGACGCGGGGCTTTGACGTTCCGAGCCCTGCGCCCCACCCCGCGCGCTTTTACGTCACCTTTCACCGGTTCAGCACCCGTTCTCTGGTCTGCGCATGCGCCCGCCTCAGGCCTTCTTTTGTTCCCATGGCAACGGGTCCTTCACCAACGCCGCCTCTCTTGGCTCTTCCCGGGATTGGTCAGTCCTCAGGTCCAGGCTGCTGTTAGGTCCAAGAGCTGCCTCAAAGGCCCCTCAACCCGCACCCCAGAGGCCCCGCGCCTCTTCCTTGGCATTTACCTTCGTGGTATGCCTACGTGTGCCAGGCTCTGGGCCGAAGGAGGAGAAGAACACCTACTGCGGTCCACTGGCGGCTTCCTCTGGGCAAGTTGCTTGCCTTAGCATGCCTCAGTTTCCCCATCCGTATAGGGCGGTTGTGTAGATTAAATGGATATTTATAAGGCGCTTGTTTTATTCCTCTTTTTCCTTTCCCTCCCTCTCAAACCCTACTCCTCCCAAACCTAGATCTCAGACCCTCCTGCACCCACTAAGCCAGCTCCTCCCCAGACCTCTCTGGCCTTATGTATCCTCATGTCCCCTTCTCTGCAGATTTCCTTCATCCTCAGGACATGTGTTCCTTCATCTATCTGGCAAACATTTTCCGACTTCCTCCTCCATGCCCTCTTGTCCTGAATGAAGATAGAGAAATGTACTAGCTACGGCCTCCTGCCTCTGGGATCTCCTATTTTGGGGGACCTAAGGAAGCAAAGACACACATTGTAGTAAGACTGGCCACAGTGGAGACCACTGTGGGTGCATTGGAATTTAAAGGGGACTGCTTAGTGACATCACAGAAATCTTCCCAGTGGAGATGGCGTTTGGCTGGGTGGAAGTGTGAGCAGAGACTGAGGGTGGCATTCCAAGTGGAGGAACTGCCCTGTTTGAAGTTCAGAGGTTCCAGCGCCTGAGCCCGAGTGATTAAAGTACAAGTCACTTTTTCCCTGGAGGGTTAATTAGGAAGTGGGAAGAGAAGTAGAGATAACAGCATGAGGAAGCCAAGCTTGTCACCCATCTCGAGCTTCCCTGGCTTCAGCCAATCATGAAACTCCCTCGGGGGCCTTGCTATCTAGTTGATATTTCCTTTAAATCAAGTACTTTTTAAAAACCTCAAAAAGGTAAAACAAAAATGTCCACTTAATCGTGTACTCAATATGCTCTTTATAGTTCTCTAATGCATATTCAAATTATATTACTGTTAAGAATTGTTAATGTGTCACCCAAGATCTTCCACTGCCCACCAGTGCTCCGAGCCTGCTCTCTGCAGGAGATGGCTATGGCAGGGGGTGAAGAGGAACTCCTGTGGGAAAGACCAAGTGTATTCCAGTTCCAAACCTTAGTCCTTCCTGTTTTCTCCATTTTCCTTCATATTAGTCTGTTCGGGCTGATAAATACATAGACAAAACCAAATACCACCCAGTGGGTGGTTTAAACAACAAAAATTTATTTTCTCAGAGTTCTGGAGATTGAAAGTTCAATTTTAGGCCACCATCATTTTGGGTTTCTGAAGACTCTGTCCTCACATGACCTTTTCTTGGTGCAAAGAGAGAGTGATCTCTGATGTCTCTTCTTGTAAAGACATGAGATTTCTATTCTGTGATCTCTTTGACTTTAATTACTTCCTTAGAGGCCCATTTCCAATATAGCCACATTGGGGAGTAGGGCTTTAGCATATGAACTTAGGGGACATTCAGTCCTTAACACCCATATTTGGGAAATAAGTTTTGCTTGGGAGGTGAGGTGGGGCTGAACTTTGTACTAGATATCTCTGCTTAGAGGCTGGGCCATGTGGCAGGAGGAGCAGAGATCCTTGAGGGAGGTTGGAAGTGACATCTGTGGTCTGTCCCAGGGAGAGGACCCTGTCCACCTGGGGGGAGATAGTGCAAGCTCCCGGCCAAGGCTTCAGGGGGTCCCCTCTCCTCTCAGCCGCTCTCCTGCATTTTTGGAAACGTTCAGCATGACAACCTCCAAATCAGAAGCGAAGACAACAAAAATTTGTTTTTAAGTCCACAGGCTCAGTTCAGCCTGCACATGGGCTTGTTGGCCTTTTCAATGATCTAAAACTTTATAGTAATGGCCAACATTGTATCTCTGAATAACTATTTCAATTTACTAAATGTTTGAAAAGTTTCATAGAACAGTGAATGGAGGGACAGCAGGAGACACCCCTGCACACTTGTCAGAATGGCCAAGTCCAGAGTCTGACCACACCAATAGCTGGCAAGGACGCGAAGCCATGGAACTCTTGTTTATCTTCAGCCACCTGGGAAGATAGTCGGAGGTTTCTTCCAAGATTAAACACATTCTTACTCTCATCCAGCAATTGTGTGCCTGCTTATTAACCAACCAACTGGGAAATGAATGTCCCCACATATGAATGTATGTAGCAGTTTTATAATCTCCAAAACCGGAGGCAACCTGGATGCCCTTTGTGCTAGTCAGCTTCACATCCTATGACCTAATACCTGAGAAAATCAACTTTGAGGGAGAAAAGATTCATTTTTGTCTCATGGTCTCAGAGGTTTAGTCCATGGTTGCTTGGTGTTGAAGAAGTACATTGTGACTGGGCACATCTACATGGTAGAGGAGGCTGGTTTACCTCAGGATGGCTGGGAAGTGGCCAGAGAGGAAGAGGAGGTGCTAGTGATGCATCTCTTCCCCCACCAGGCCCCACCTCCTGAAGGTTCCACCAATTCCCAATGGCACCACAGGCTGGAGACCAAGCCTTCTACACATACACCTTTGGAGGACATGCAGGATTCAAACTATAGCCCATCTTTGATGGATGAGCAGGTAAATAAACTGTGACATAACCATACAATGGACTATTATTCAGTCATAAAAGAAATCACATTTTCACCATAAAAAGACATAGATAAATCTATCTCTGTGTGTGTGTGGGGGTCTGGATTTGAACCCAGAGCCTCATGTATTTCAGGCAAGCACTTTACCACTGAGTGACATCCTCAGCCCCATACCTCTTAAATATGTATAGTAAGTGAGAGAAGCCAGTTTGATAAAGCCACATACTGTAAGGTTCCAGTCGTAGAACATCCTGGAAAAGGGAAAATTGTACAGAACGTTAACAGATCACTGGTTGCCCGCTGGAGTGGGGAGGTGCCATTGAATAAGTAAAGGTCAGGGCATTTTTTTTAAGGGAGGGAAACGATTGCATATGGGACTGTAATGGTTAAGAGAAGCCAGTAAGCATCTGTCAGTGAGTGAACTCTAATACATGCGAATGGTAAAGAATCATCTAGGAGGTCGGTGGACCCCAGGATGCAGTATGGAGTATGACCAAATAATCATAAATGTACAAGGGAACCTCACCAAGGCAGGTGGGGAACAGGGGCTGGCCTGGAAATGAGTGGAATCTGGGAGGCTGAAGGAGGAGGAACTGCACCTGCGCACGGGGGTTTCGCTGACACAATGTTATTTGCAGACCTGTGGCTCAACGATGCTGAGACCAGTACACATGTGCGCCGGTGTTGAACAACCCAGCGAATAGAAGCTGGGTGGTGGGGGTCAGGTTTCTCCCATTGGCATGAAAAGCTACAGATAAGCAAGGGGAGAGGCTCGAAGGATCCATGTGAAATGGATCGGGGTTGGAGGCATCGTGTGAACTCCCGTGTAGCTTAATATAGATCCAGTGGCTTTCATTCAGAAATCTTCATGAATATATAAACCGGGTAGTATACACACCCACGTCTCCTCACTCCATCAGCTGAGAAGGTGCGGATGCAAGCACACCCCCAGCCCAGAAGCAACAAGCAACTTGGGCTGTGGCTAGACCTTGGTTTCTAATACCATTCTCCAGAAATATGAACCCCAGTAAAAATGGTAGGAAATACAGAAGAGGAGCCTGGAGTGTCTAGCAAGACCAGGAAGTAAGAAAGTGCTAAAAGAAACAAATACAAATCCCAGTGTCGGGGAGGACAGAGGGCTACAGGAGTCAGCTGAAGAGCAGGCAGCTAACTTTTTTTTTTTAATATTTTTTAATTGTACATGGACACAATATCTTTATTTATTTGTTTATTTTTATGTGGTGCTGGGGATTGAACCCAGTGTCTCACACATGCTAGGCAAGTGCTCTGCCACTGAGCCACAACCCCAGCCCGGCTAACCTTTTTTATACAAATTATTTTGTTTGCTTGTCATGTATTTATTAACATATTAATGGATTTCAGCATGATATTTCCACAAATGCATATGGCACACACTGATTAAATCAGTCTAACATTGTTTTTCCTCTCCTCATTTCTTTTTCTCCTCTTTTTCTATCAGGGATTGCACACAGGGTACTTAGCCACTGAGCCACATCCCCAGGCCATTTTATTTTTTATTTTGAGCCAGGGTCTCACTAAATTGCTGAGGGCCTCATAAGTTGCTGAGGCTGGTCTTGAATTTGCAATCCTTTTATCTCAGCCTCCTGAGTTGCTGGGATTACAGGAGTGTACCCTGCGCCCAGCTCCTCCTCATCTCTTTATGTTGGATCTTCTTAGACTCTATGGTGGGTTAGCATGAGCTAAAGCCACGCCGATGTGCTGCAGAACATCAGAACTCGTTCCTTTTATTCCGTCTAACTGTGTTTGGTACCCATGATCCTCTCCCCCACAGGATATCTGTCTTTTTCTCTATCTACCTATTCATCCACTGATTGATAAACAGATGTCTG